TAACTTGGCCTGCACTCTTCCTGCTGGGATTTTCATCTGATGTTCATGTAAAAGACAGTGACAGACATAATTCTGTAGTAACCACCAAAGAAGCTGTATTCAGTAACATCTGCACCCCTGGTCCTCAGGTGACATGGGTTTACAATAAGGAAAAAGCCAGGGAAGTGGTGCTGGATGGGATGTTTTATATCATCAGGGAAATGCATTTTGTAAGGGCTTTGAAAGATGATTAATAGCATTAAGGGAAAAAAAAAACCTAAACAAACTACAACTTATACCTTTTATATGCTGATCATGGAATTTGCTGGCAAAGGCTTTTTGTTTTAATCAGTGCCTTTTGTTTCCTTCCACCCTGGCTGTGAGGTTCATGCCATGGTGCAGGAGCTGGGATGTCTGCTCATGGCTGTCTCACTGCATGGCTGGCAGGAGGTGCTGATACTAAGCTGAAACCAATTCTACCTTGTGTTTGGAAACCAGATGCATAGATATAATTATGCTAATCAGTGGAGTTATGCCCCTCCCACTTTTCCCATCACTTCCAGCTGAAGCACTTTTATTGTAATTGAAGTAGTATTATGCCACATTAATTTTAATTTTCCATAATACCCCCCACAGTTGGTGTCTGTCTTCATAACTCAGGGCCCCCTTTCACAGATGACTCATGTAATAGCTGATGTTATTAATTTATTACAATACTGCCTGCAATACCAATTTTTGCAGTGTTCCTACATTGCTCACAGACTTAAGATCTGGAGCCACTCATACTACTTACTGGTCGAGCAAAATAATTGGCAGCGTTAGTATAACTATTGTTTTGTAGGGCCCCAGGCCATGGCATTGCATGCTGGAGAGTCAGTGGAGCCTCTTGTCCCATCTAGGTGACTCGGAGCTTCCCAGCCAGCCTTCATCTGGTGCAGGAAGCATCTTTCTTCATGAGCAGTCCCACAGGCTGTGATGGAGTGACTCTGAGGTACGCCTCCACGCCACATGAGTCAGGACACCAGAATGTGCCCCTTAGGTGCTAATTAAAGTCCACTTCACACACAGGAATATACTTCCAATTAACATAGTATCCCTGGATTGCATTGTGGGATGTGGAGAAGAGCAGAAGCTATTGCAGAAAAAAAGTAATTAGAGTGTTTAAATGACAAGGCCCTCCTCGTGATTGATTAGTCTGTGTCGTATGAATTATCCCACAGTAACCCAGCTCCAGGTTCCAAACCAGATGCATATGTGAAGGTTTTTCCAGGACTTCCAAGAGCTGGGCTTCTCAACAGTCCGAAAATCTGAGAAATTTTGGCTTTTTCAGTTTCCTCACTCTTGAGCTTCCCACGTCACTGCATGGTAAGGAGCCAGAGCTATTAGCTGTTCAAAGACCTTGAGGAAGAATTTGTAAAGGACAACCAAATATGTCATGTAGAATGCTGCCCTGGGGAAAAAAAAAAAAAATAAAAAAATCTCTCTATATATATTCACAAATCTCCCTCCATGGAAAATCTCAAAGTTTATTGTTTTGTTTTGGAATGACTTCTCATTTTGGAATTTCACTTGAAATGCAGATTCAAAAAGTCTGCCAATTCAAGTCTCAGTGGTGATTCAGCTCTTACTCATCCATAAAATTCATAACTTTATGTCCTGTTTCTTAGTTCATAAAAGTTTATCGTCAGTTTATCATTACCATTCCTCATCTTTCCTCAAATGCTATCCAAAATAGTCTTCAGGAGAGAAATAAGGAGCCTGTCTATCTGAAAGACTGTGCTGATGCCCAGAATGTTTATTTTTCTACTCAGAACTAACATATTTCGCTTTTTATTCTACTTTAATGAAATACTGTAACAAGCCCCTCCATCATTTTGAACCTAAAAACTGTGAATGCTGTACCAAAGATCCGCTTCAACAAGAAAACCAGTGCCATCAAGTGGTCCTCCATGTGCCCAGGACATTTGCAAGCAATAATCACATCAGACTCCATTTTCTGCAGCTACCTACATTGGCTTCAGATGCACTTAAATTCCATCTCTCTTGTAGTGGTCTTCTAATGAGTATTTATATAAAGCTGTCATCACACTATGTACACAATCTGTGGTCCATGCCAGCAGAATGAGGGGTCTCAACACCACAGAAAGTCTTGAATTTAGCCATAAAAGCAAACACAAAATGCAGTTTAAGATGTAGCGAACTAGCAAAAGGGTTTTGGCACTTACAGTTTATATTCTTTTTGCTAAATCATTTACTTTTACAAGTATTTAAACAAGCACATGGTCACAGGCACACAACTTTTGAGTAGCTTCGTGTTTGATACTGTCATCCTGTGACAATGGTAAACACAGAAAATGCTGTTGCCTCCAACAGCAAACAAAATGCTTTTTGAGTAAGCTGCTACAGAAAGCTCTGCTTTTGTTTCCTCACAGGGATTCCAGCAGCCTTCCTCATTCAGGTCTTCCCAAATCAGACTCGAAGAAGGCCCTGTTCCAATTCTGGACACAAGGCATAAAAAAGCAGCACCAGGATCTTGCCAAAAAGTATCTGGTTATGAAAAGAATCATGACCATCCTGGAATACAGAAGGCAGGACAACAAGGTCCATAGTCTTGGTTAAACACATTAAACTGAGGGATCATGACTGATAGGCTGAATGAGAACAGCCCATGAGCCCAAAACAACGTAAAAGCACGTTTCCCCTCCTCTGCAGCCCACATACCTGGATGGATCTTCATGTGTAGCAAGAAAAACAGAATTATCTTGCACTACTCTAACAGAATCTTCTCTTTTGGTTGTTTTGATACTACATTTGCTTTGCTTTACCTTGTCTGGTGATTTCTACCACTGAAGAAACTTTTACTTGGAATGCACAAATATATCATCGGAATTTATTGCAAAGGGAAGAGGTTGATAAAAATGTTGAGTGATAAAAGAAAGCTTTAGAAGAAGTTAACATCTGAGAATGAAGAACCTGTTACAAAACCGCAATGCATAGTATCTATTCCTGAAAACCTGCCTATTTGATCAGTCTGCTGAAAAACATGTGAAAATGTAAACGGAAGTAACTGTAAGCATCTCCAGACACAGAGTAACAGCAATAAGATACCTAAGAGTCTACTCTGAGGTAAGGCATTGTGTTTGGAAGAGGATGCCTGGTTTCATTCTGAGAAGGGATGCTGGGCTTACAGCCCATTTCATTATATTGTTATAAGCTGTTCTCTCCTTTTCATTGTTTACAGACAGGGTCTTCTACCACCAACAGTTTCATGGAAGGCTGTAGGAACTGCATTTGTTTTCAAGACTTGCTGCTAAGGGCCAGCAATAATGAGGGTTGATAGGAATAGCTGGATAAAATGGCCAAGAGGTAGAAACATAATAGATTTTATATAAAAATAGGATGGCACTTAAGAGCTCCAGCTCCCTCCAGGCAATGAGGGAAAGTGCAAAGTGATTATAGCTCTGTTATGGCAGAGGTCTTCCCTTCTCAGTACCCACAGGTGGCTATTCGGTGCTTTCACATACCTGCAGCACTGCGCAAATTACCATCCTTTGCTAGGAAATCCCTTTCATTTGCATTGAATTAGGTCATTGTCCAGTTGCTTTTCCCACAAGCACAGGAAAAATCATAGATGCCTAGAAAAAGAGAAAGGACGCTTCCTATTTCCAAGAGGAGCAGAGGCGGGCAAGTAAAACAGAGAAATGACACTAAGCACAAAAAAATCGTACTCTTCAACTTTTAACACATTTTCTTATTTGTACTGATATGTGCTGCACAAAAGATAATCCCACTCAATTAAAGTGTAACCACAGAACCAGTCGAAGACAACAAAATATATACAGCTGCATATTAAAAATGACAGGCACAGTGTAGCCCCACAGAGGTGGCTTCATACATTAATAAGGGAAGAAGAGTGGCTGCTTGCATCTCTCTGCTGCTGGCTTGCTGAAGCTGTGGGTGTTGACATGGTGTCAGAGGCAGGAGCATAGGGCTCCCAAATAGCACTTAGCTCCTAATCTTGCTGAATTGCTTTACAAACATGAAGCCAATCTCATGGCAGCATGGAGAAGTAGGTGTTATCTCCCCTGCCCAAAGTCAAATAACTTGTATGGCCACACGTGGAGTCACCACGGCAGGGCCAGAGAGAGAATAAAGAAATGTCTGATTTTTTGCCATATCACAGAATCATCTAGAATCACAGAATGGTTTTGGGTTGGAAGGGACCTTAAAGATCATCTAGTTCCAAACCCCTGCCATAGGCAGGGACACCTTCCACTAGACAAGGTTGCTCAAAGCCCTATTCAACCTGGCCTTGAACACTCCTGCTGTGGTTTTCTGCACTGTCTTACCTCCTGAGCAACGCTGAGCAAGCCATGATCTATTAACTGTCTATTTATTAGACATACTAATAGCTGTCTATTGAAACCATCCCTAACTACTGGCTCCATTTGTTTCCTCAAAAACTGAATAGCAAAATTTGCCCTGAACACCGTGAATGCCAGACAATGACTTAAACACAGCCACTTCAATCCAATACTGAGGAACATCTAGCATTTAAGGACTATTTTATTGCCAGTCAGTACTTGTTGCCTACTATGGCTTCCAGCAGACTTTCCATCTTGGACAGTAAAACATCATTCATATGACTCTCTGAAACTGGCAGTGGCACATGCTAGTCTAACAAATCAGAAAAAGGTATTTTCCAGCTGTTTTTGCCAAGCAGCAAAGCAAGTCCACCAGCAGCAAAATGGGTGCTTGTGTAACCAGCCTCAGTTAACTGGGGCTGGGTGTACATATTATTATTTTAAAATATTTAATTAATGTTTATAAGAACCTTCCACAGGTTCTTAATGCTCCATGTCGCACTTGAATTGCCCTTCATAGCTGAGAGTCTAAAAGAACAAGCCCCGTACTCATTTTGGAGCGGGGAGACTATAAAATGCAGCACCATTTCTTACACTTTTAATGTAGCTCCTGTTTTACAAGTGCCTCTCTTGAGCTGTTAAACACCAGCTGTTTTCTTACAGGCACCACAGGAGAAGGGGGACTTGAAAACACATTACTGGAAGATGAGATGACCTCAGGGGGCTTCTTCCATGCAGAAGAGGATGCCAGGGAGCAACTTACGGGAGGGAAAGGAGAGAATGAGGTATACTCACAGATACCACAGATAAAAGGGCTGCAAAAAATGTAACCTACTGACATTAAATCTTAATCTTCCTTCTGGGTGTTTGCCTAGTAAGACACAATTTGTTGATTTTCAGTTCAGTTCAGAGTTAGTTAGGGTTTTTTTTAATGCAAGCTGTAGGACTTTCTTTAATTAATGCATTCCCCAGCTCAGTAACTGCAGCTGAAGCAGAAAATATCTCCTGGAAAAGTCTTTCATTTTGATTTTGAAGTTATTTGTGAAGAAGGAATCTTTGGCAAATTGTCCAGGGGGTATTTTCCTTTCCAGCTAAGACAGTTTAAAACATTTATCAGGATGACAGAAGCTTGTGTCATCCTTTAGACTTGTTTTTCACACTGCATCCTCCTTCTTGTTTATTACTTGAATGGCATTTTCATAAACATTGCATTTGTCTTTGTGTATTCTCAGTCTGTGCTGCACAAACTACATGGCTGTCATAAATGACAGGACTGCAGCTGAAGACAGCAGCAATAACATCAGGCTGTGAAGGCAGAGTCCTATTTTTAAATCTTTGTTTTGTTGAGAGGGGAGGGGGTTTCCTGTGAATATAATGAAGTGGCGGTTGGCTGCATGCTGCAAATAATTTCTCATGCAAATTTTACCCAAGGTTGTGCTTACAGTTCTGTTATAGCTCTGAATGGATAAAATAAAGTCAGCAATACAGGGGCAGTTCATTCGAAATAGAAAAGAAGTTATATGTCATCTTCATGACAAAAAGAATAAAATAACCCACTCCAGAGAAACAGGCATATAAAAATAATGAACCAACTGCAACGTGTGCAGCACAGCTCTAACCCATCTAAGCCAGAATCTATAGGAAGCTGTGGGAACCTCCCTGTAACCATCGGTGTGCACTGCACCAGGACCATGGGTTTCTGAGCAGCAGCTACCAGGAACCTCAACTCTATTCCTGCTCCCCAACTGCAGGTGAGCTAAATTTTTGCAGATTGCTATAGCAAAGCAGTGAGATGTTCATGTCTTCTAAGTCCTGCAACAAGCTTTCCAAGACCTTATTACACCACTCAAGAAACAGTGAGGAACAGTACTCTAAAATAAAGCTTAATTTCATCATTCAATCTTTCTGATTAATGCAATGAGGATTTAGTCATTCATTATTTACTGCAAAACTGGATTAAAATGTGCCCACCACTGAAATCACAACAAGGCTTTTATGCTAATCTCAGGAATAAACAGTCCAGTCATTTCTTTCAGGTCTGAAAATATATGTGCTGCAGTCAAAAAAATGATTATAAAAGCTAATTAGCTCAGTACAGTTAATTGATGTGTTCTGTGGCATCCTTAGAATTGAAATTCTGTAATTTTAAGTCATACATTAAATAAAATTAAGAAACAGATTTTAATTCTTAATCCCATTAAGCATGCGCTGTATTTTAAGCATGAGGGAGCCTGAAATTCACAGTAGGCATTTAATGAATAATCAGATCTGGAAGACATAATTTATCATAGCCACAGAAAAAGCTTGGTAAAAATCAAGTCTGTCAAGTTAATTAAATAAGTCTGAATATAGTGGATGGTGAGAAGATTTGCTGGCATTTATGGAGTTTAGGGGTTTTGTTGTTGGTTTTTTTTTTTTCCTTTAAAATTTATTTTGTGATACAGAAAAAAAAAAGGCAAAGTCTACAGAATATAGTATTATGAAACTTGACAAAAACTGTATTTAAATATTTAGTACCTACTGGAGGCACTTCATGCTTTTTATACAAAAAATACCTTCTGAGAAAACTCAGTCAATATTTAAGTGTATTTCATAAACATCTTAGCCTTACAACCCTTTAACCTGATGAGTCATTCCAGATCATGCCAGAACTTACTCATGAGGAAGAATGTAATTCTTGGATCCTTAGCTACTGACCTCACAACGCATGATGCAAACTACTAGCACGAGTGAGAAAACTAGGTGCAGTATCAGGATACTGGAATCTCCTGATGAAAGAGCCTGAGCTCTTGTGCTCCTTCAATGGGTAGCTCCCGCTGCCTGCCTACTATCATCCCTATCCATGTGAAAAACTGCTCAAGTGGATCAAGCGCTTGCAAGACCCAAGCCATAGTGTGTTGCCTCCTAAAGGGTGCAGTCTGGCAGTGTGCAGAGTCCCCTCCAAATCAGCTATGTACCTCCTAACTTTCATTGATGGCTTTTTTAGAGGGTTGGCAGTGACAGCAACTGCCTTCCAAAAACTGAAATCCTTACCTTAACAAAAAGATCACAAGACAGTTATGTGTCTGCTTCCCTCCCTCCAGACACACAGACAGATACACATGGATGCACCCATTCATACTATATATACATATACTTACAGGTATATGGGTGTATGCATACGTAGGTATATACACATTAAAGGTGAATTTATTTGGATTTGTTTTTTTTTTTTTTCAGGCTTCAGGATCCCTGCTGTTTCAAATACTTCCATGATGGCTGCCAACAGGAGGGGAAAGACAAGAGGGAAGAATCTCGTAAAATCCCGTGACTCAGGAAGCTCGGGTTCCAGATAAAACCTTGTTACTCATGAAGAACCTGTGAACATTGGAAGGGACTGAACCAATCCCACAGCACAGGTTAGCAATGCTTAACAGGTTTCCCACTTTGAACTTTTGTATTTTGAGGTATATTTTTGTTACTACGAAAAAGCAGCTAAATAAGAACCTTGGTCTTGGTATTTCTGTGACATTAAGAAACTGTCATCATTCCAGTATTATTGATATTTCAGAGTAATAATTGACTACCCACTGTTTCACCAAAAATAATATTTTGGTGTGACTGCAGGTAGAGGCGGGTTTTCCCCTGTTTGGTAGTTTCTTGCTATACAGCAAAAGGTATGTTTTGAGGGTTTGCCCCAAGTCAGTCTCCTGACACCAAATTGCCATGTTTCTAGTAGAACCATGTGGTCATAAAACCTTCCTGCAGCTATTGGCTTTGCAGTGGACCTTGTCCAGATCCTCCCTCCCATCATGGAGAATGTACCAGAAGATATATTGCAGCCTGGGATGCTCTATATTCTACGGATAAGTTTTCTGCTGGGATCAGAACTGACAGTGAACTCTAATTCCTCTTTATGCTCTTTCCTTGTAATATCTTCCTGACTGCAGACTCTTCCCAGTTTCAGAGGAGAGACTACGATGCAGGGTTGATGAGTGGTACTTTCTCACTCACAAACACACTGCCAAGGCAGAGCGTTTACTCCTATTCTTCCAGCAAGTAACAACTAGGAGCTGCATTAGTAAATAAAGCAAGCGCTGAGCCTGGAATGGGAGGTTAAACATCCTGCTGGAAAGTCAGCAGTTTTAGTCATGGTGTAAAATCTCCCATGACGGCATTCCTTTCTGAAACCTGATCCCGGAGAGAACAGCTTATGGAGCTGAAGAGATGCCAGGCAATGATCTACGGCCCTGGCCTTCCTGAAATGTATTCCTCCCCAGCATCTGTAAGCTCTCAAGTCATCCATGTAGTCCTCACGTATATGTAATACATCCTTGAGCCATGACTTTTTCTCCTGTGGTTCAAAGCTGTGTTTTCATGTGCCTCTGAGCACTTTAACTAGGCACAACGTTGGGATACAGATCCAAACAAAATAATATCAGCTTTCCTGGTTTTAGAGCATAGTTTATGCCCTGCTTGGCTGAATTAATAGAAACATTTGGGAATCACCCCCAACAAACTTCTTGTAAGCTGGAAGTCTGAATGTTACAGCTAAATCCAGGCAATCACATGAGTATGAGCATAATCAGGACCATACATCTGAAGCGTGTCTTCAGCAGTTTCCGGGAAGTTTGGATCTGCCATAAGAATTGCAAAAGTTTTAAAACTCTTTCTGTTCAAACCTGTTATTAAGTACAGCAAAATTGTTTCTAGCTAAATATATCTATAAACCTTAATGATTCTGGGGCTTTTCTTCCAGATTTTGGAACTGGGGTAGGGGAAAGAGGGAGAGAGAGGACTTCTCTTGGAAACTTGGGCATTCAGTCTTTAACCACAATTGATCTGATTCCCAAATAAATTGTAGCCTAAATCATAAATCAACTAAAGCAACTGAAGTAATTTTCATAAGAGATTCCAGTGCTGAAATGTTCAGTCTGTGTAGAGTTTGGGATGGATGTACCATGTTCAGGACTTTCAGCCAACCCCTGAAATTAATGTGCACTTTTTCCATCTGAGCTGTTATGCCACAAATTCAATCTCACCCTTGAAATCACAAGTTGCACAGAAAGCAAAACAGCACTCAGAAACACAAGGCAGCTCTTCTGCATGGGATCTGTCTGGCTGCATATTGGAAAGGCATGCTGTCTTCAGGTGACTTATTTCCTGGATAAAGTTGGACAAAAATGTAATTACTTTTGTAACTTTATCAAATGTTTTAAAAGCATCTCTGAGGGTAGTACTGCTTATAACAACGTCCTGAAATGCCATCTGAAGGCACTACTGCTGGCAAGGAGTATCTGTAGTTCATGATTCCTTCTTTTACAATCTGGCTACCAAACCCAATACTGAACCTGCTGTGGTTTCCCACAGTTGTTGATCCCAGGTCTAGACACAAGGTACACCTTTAATTACTGATACAATTATTTCCACCAATGTATGGGGTATGTTGTAGAATCCCATAAACTACATAATTGCCTGCAAGTAGCATTTATGTCATTATCCATGTATCATAGTCACAAAACCACATGCTCTTTACTGAGGAAGTCTTTACTGTCATTTCTGTACACTTCTCTCCAGAAAGTCTCCTGGAAATAACCTTCAAGATTTAAAGAGTTACAGCTTTTATTTGCTGGCTTCTTCTTGAGTGCACATGGAATCAGCAACTGCCTTGTCTGAGAACAAGGCCAGCCCTTAAAACCAGCATACTTCCGATCCACATTAATTCGGATTCCTATCAGGCATTGGGGTGGTTTGTCAGAGATAGGATCATTCTGGATTGCAATCATAATTCAGGGAGTTTTCAGCACATGATGATATTTGATTTTTTTTTTCCTCCTAAAACAGGCGGTGAGAAGTTACTTTGCACTCAAGGTTGCCCTACAGTTTGGTAAATATGGTGCTCTGAAAAAAAGAGGAAAAGAACAGCTAAAGCTGATTAAAGCTACAGCAGTGTTCTACTGAAGAGCACATTTTCAGTCTGATCGGCATATTGGTTCCCCATGACACATAACATATACTACTTGGTATTTACATTAGGATGTTCCCTTTCTTTTTCTGAGATTACTGAAAACTTGGTATGTCTACAGCATTATGAGTAGCCTTTGAAAGTTATTTACAGGTAACAGGAAGGGATCTGGTGGCCTCTTATATTTGTCTTGAGTCTTCCAATTAAAATATTCAGGCAGTGTGAAAACTTCATCTGTATCTGCTTAGTCAAAAGAAGCCCATAACCAAAACCTGTTCAGCAGTCAAGCCCAAGAAGTAGTGGGACAATGGAGATAGATATAAAAAATCATCAGAGGAATGGAACATATTGGAGAACTGAAACATGCATATATCAATTCTTGAGCAGCATAAAACATTTAGCTGCTTACTGATTTCATATAGTACTCACAGAAGGGTCTATCTAGTAGCTGGAAGAATGAGTAACGGCTGATCTCATGATCACCTTAGAAAATAAGTACTCTTATAGTTGGGTCTTTTTTTCTTCACATCACCTCCTGGGTTCCTCTTTTGTTAGAGACTTTTGCTGATAATAAAACGTTTACAATATGCTAGGTAAGTGGAAGGCAGTCAGATTACCAGGTATGATGGGATCACAGCTGAAGGCTGCCAAAGGACCATCTTCCTCCTGTGCATTAAGGGAAGCACTGGAGTCACACTGTGAGGATGGGAGGCACAGCATTGCAGTCCCACACTAACAGCAGATGGATGGGCAAATCTCAGATATTTTTTGGCAATGGGGGATCAATAACTCTCACATTCAGAATGATGGGAAAAAAGAAAAACTCTGCCCTTCCTTCAGCAAGGAGACAGCACAGATAGCAGGGTCTTAGCCACATGTTCCGTATTTCTGTTCATGAGCACAAAAGGCCCTGCTTACTAAGCAACTTCCTCTTCGGGGAAAGAAACAAGGCAGACCCTCCTGCACAGAGCCTATTAGACCACACTCACTGTTTAGAGCCATCTGATACCCTGGGAGAAGAAGAAAGAATTCAAATATCTGAAACCATCAGAGTGAGGACTGTGCAAAAGAATAATTAAGTTATCAGGTGGTGGCACGTGCTATAATTGCTGGATTGTAGGGAAATAGCATTCAGCAGCTGTTACTTTACCAGCGTTACTAACTCCAGTTCCCTCACAGACATAAATGAAAAAGAAACTCCAGCTGTCTGCTGCCTACAGATCTGAGATCACAAGCCATGGGCCTCAGAAAGGACTTTTGCCCTAAATGTCTGCATTTTATTACAGCTGTAGATATACACCATAAATAAAATGAATGAAAATATTCATTTGCTTGGTAACTAAAACAAATTTTCTACCCATTAATGTGCTCCTCAAAGTATGAATAAATGTGGACTGATGTCAAATGAGTCACAGATATAATAAAATAATTATGTTTATCTTTACATGTCAGCTGTTGTGCTATATGAAAGTCATTTCACATTACAGAGCTTGTAAAGTTAAATGAGATTGTGCCACAACAGTAATAAATTATTCTAGGCCTTTCTTTTCTGTGAATAAGGAAAAAAAAAGAGAACAAAACCCCATGATGTACAATTCTAATGTTAATCTTCATAAGAACATCTATTTTACTTGAGGCAAAGTCTTAAACAACTGTTTTATTGCAAAGGTATTGGTAACCCACCTGGATCAGTGCCTTAATAACCCTACTAATCTCTGACCACAGAACAGCCCTAAACTGAACTGGCAGAGGTATGAGTCAATATTTCACTGTGATAACGAGGACAAGACATTTTGGCAAACTGCCTTGGTTGCTATCCGTTTACCAAGAGAAATGTATTTGCAGCAAGGTTGGGTCACCTAAAAGCAGGACTCTGCAGGTCTAGCTCCCAGTTCAAGGGCTAGATTCAGGCTCAGAGGAGTCTTGTGAGTCTTTCATCACCGCCTTGACTTGAATTAAGCTTTCCACTGCACGAAAACTGTGCACAGCTTTAACTCAACCATTACCTTTTGGGCAGCTCAGTTGCCTCTTGGTTGCAGCCCCCAGTCCCTGATCACTCCTATACAGGTGAGAGAATGAATACTTTAAAATGATTGGGCCAGACAGCCTCCTGCAAGAGATGGTGCTCTATTTTATTAATAACATGCTATGCAGCTTCATACTGTAATTGCTGCCTCTGAGCCAGCGGCAGTGAAGGAAGGCAATGATGCTTTTCACTCAGGGCACGTTACTGCCTTTTCCTGGTAGCCTTTGCTTACTTTACACCTGCAGCAGTGGGCTCAACATAGAAAGAGCATTTCTTCTATGAAGACATTTGGTGGCCTTGAGTAGGAGGAAGGCTTTCCAGTCAGTGAGTTAATACTCTTTGAGGGTAAAGGGAAAGCAGAACAATGTCGTGACAGTGCTTTTGGACGGCAGGGCCAAAGACTTTTGCCACTAATTTGAATATATAGG